GACGCCACGCCCACTCCCCCACCCGAGCGCAGCGGGGCCGGCGGGGCCGCGAGCGGGTTCTCAGCACAGGCTCTGCTGCCCTGGGCAACTGGGAGCGAAAGCTGGACTGGCCCCACGCCTGTAATCCCAGCACTCTGGGAGGCTGAGGCAGGAGGATTGCAAATTAGAGGTCAGCCTCGGCAATTGGGTGACAGGTGTCTCAAAAAATAAAATTGGGCCGAGGCTGTACCTCAGGGCAAAGACCTTGGGTTTAATCCCCAGTAACGCACACAGAAAACTCTAAAACACACACCTCCCAAAACACAAACCGTCCCCCAACAAATGGGGCAATTAGATAAGGCCTGGTCCAGGGGCGGCGCTTCGTTCCGGGGGTCGGGGCTCCCTCGGCGGCTCCGCGGGGGGGGTGTGCAACCTGGACACCAGGGCCTCGGCGCTTCGGGACGCAGCTGGGAATCCCTGTGCCGAGGGCAGCATACCCGCCGCGCGGGCGAGGGCAACAACCGGGAGCTGTGAGTTCGAGGCCAGCACCGGCTCCCTTCCCTCCAAAACCAACCTGGACCTCACGGCAGTTCTTTCCTTTTCCCCTCACCAGAGACCTTCTAGTTTCCAACATCCACCCTCCTCCTGTACCACACTCCCCACAAACCTTGAGGGGCCGTCTTGGTCCAGTCAGCTCTTCAGAACCTCAGTGTTAGCGCGGAACCGAGCTTCGATGTTCGGAGTCTGCGGAACCTTCAGGAGCAAAGCGACGGCGCGCACGTGGGGGAGGCGGAGCCAGAGGCGGCTCTGTTCGCGCATGCGCGGTGGGCGGCGAGAGAGGCCCGCCAGAGGGCTGGGTAGGTGTAGGCCTCAAGGCCTGGGTGGCAGAGCGGGTGCTAACACTAGGTCGTAATGCCTGTGTCATCACCTCAGTGGGCGTTGTATCATCTCAGCACAAGAAGAGGGATGAATAGAGTATTTTGAGAAAATACATTAGCATGTATTACAATACTGTTCTAATTGTCCGATTTTATTATGACTGGATGTTAATCTCTTACTATATCGGATTTATAAATTAAACTTTATCATAGGTACGTATGTATATAAAGGAAAGACAGTATATGTAGACCTCAGGACTATCTGATGTTTCAGGCATCCACTAGGGCTCTGGAAAGGTTTCGCTTGTGAAAACGACAGACCGCTGCAAATAAAAGGCGCCAACACCAAGGGCCACAGGAAAGTGGAAAAAATCGTTTTGTGAACAACCCTATAAAACTATGACCAAACCTATAACTTCAGTTTGCTCCTATTTCTTTTAGCCTCATTCCTGTCTTGAAATTCTGAAATAAGCGTAACCTTTCATTTATTTTCGAAAACATTAATTATCCTTTGTTTTCTTAGATTTACTTTATTCTTACTTTTTTGTTTTGTTTTGCCATGCGGGGAACCAAACCCAGTCAGGGCTGGACGCATGCTAAGCAAGCATGGGGGACCCCTGAGGTACACTCTCAGTCCTGATTTATTCTTTATCATGTTGATTGACTGGTTTATATTAATATTTTTCTTTCTTTTCTCCAATAGATTGGTTAGTTTATGTTCATCTTATTTCAACTGTTAAGATTTTAAAGACGTGAGTGTGACTTTCAGGTCATACGTCCTGAAATTTTGTGTTGTTTGTAGAATTACTAATAACTGCAAGGTTTTAGTAAATAGTGAAATAACCTGAATATTAAATGTTCTTGTTTAGATTTGGCAAGGATCTTAGAGATTCTGAAAATTGAGACCCAGAAATATTAAGTAATTTGCTCATTACTTAATTTGCTGTATTACTTAATTAAATATTTACGATAAATCATGTTCTTTCTTTCAGGAAACTCCTGTCTTGCTACATACTATATTCCATTTGGAATGAGGTTGAGAAGGAAGGGGATGTATAAAGCACATTTTTTTATACATAGAAATAATGTCAGTTTCTAGACATACTTCATGATTAGTTTGTGTAACTGGATTTTAACGTTAAACATTTTTACATCAAGAAATATCGGTATGTCAGCCTACAGAACGGGAGAAAATCTTTGCCTGCTATTCTTCCAATGGAAGATTAATATCTAGAGTACATAAATAATTAAAAAAACACCAAAAATCATATAGCTCAGTCAATAAATGAGCAAATGAATTAAACGTATTTCTCAAAAGAAGTACAAATGGTCAAAAAGTATATGAAAAAATGTTCAGTGTCTTTCTCCATTAGGGAAATACAAATAAATCTGCAAGGAAATTCCATCTCACTCCAATCAGAGTGGCAATTAATTAATAAGCATCCAAAAAAATAAATGCTAGCAAGGACATGGCAAAATGGACCCCTCCTACATTGCTGGTGGGAATATGAATTAGTATGTAACTATAGAAATCAATATAGGGGTTCCCAAAAAACTAAAAGTAGAGCTACCATAGACTTAGCTATAGTAGTCTTGGAATATACCTGAAGGAGTTAAAGTCAGCATACTAAGGGGATACCTGCAAACCAATTTTTGTTGTGGCACAATTCCAACAGCCAAGTCATGGAATTAGCCAAAGTATCCATCAACAGACGAACTCATGAAGAAAATGTGGTGTATTTACACAACAGCGTATTTATTCAGCCATAAAGAACAAAATTTTGTCATTTGTAGGAAAATGGATGAAACTGCAAAACTTCATATTAAGTGAATGTTCAGAAAGACAAGTATCAAATGTTTTCTCTAATATGTGACATCTAAAAAAAAGTGACATGGAAGTAGAAGGGTAGTTATTATTAGATAAGAAGGGAAAAAAGGGAAGGAGTATAACAGTATAAAGAAGGGATAATATGACCAAAATATAGGCACTAAAACCAAGTTTTTTGTAAAATTAGTAGGCACTACTAATAAAAGGAAAAAAAAAGCTATAAGAATACACCCTAAGAAAAATCCCTGACCAAGCAGTATATCTACTTAGCAAACGTCTCAAAGTACACTAATAAAGTGGAATCCTGAAAAATTTAAAAAATATTAGTGTATTCACTCTGTCTGTCTCAGTCTCTATTGCTCTCTCACTCTTTCTCTCTTCCTTAGAGACAAAATATAACTTAAAATACTTTAAAAAATGGATCAAACTGATTTTCTACTGAAAATTCTCTAGCTCTTTAGGGTTTCATATTTTTGGAGACACTACCACTCTATATTTCATTAGCTACTGTGCCTTTTACACAAATTGTCTCATATAATCTTCACAACCATCCTGAAAAAAATGCCAGTAATCTTATTTTACAGTTGAAGAATCTGAAGCACAGATGAAATCATTTCCTAATAATACACAGACCATGAGTAGAAGAGCAAAAAGTCAAACCTATGGGCATTGGCACTAAACTCTACTTCTTTTCTACTGTGCTACACTGCAAGTTTGAAAAGAAAGTAATCTTCTTAACAAACTCTGGAAAGTATAGATTATTTGTGAAATTTATAGCTTTTACCTACACTACAACTTTCATAAGATCAGGTCATCAACATTTTTTGAATTAATTACTGTAGTTTCAAGACAGTGCAGGGCACATACAAAATGCTGTTCAACAAATGCTGTTGAGTTAAATCTAAATAAATGATAGGCTGAGTTGCATGATTAATTGTTAATATACTGAGAAGTTTAAAAGTTTCTGGCCTCTTTTTGTATAATGATATAGAAGAATCACTTGAGCACACATATAACTAAAAGACAAATATATGCCCAATTCCACAGGGAAAGAGTATACATAGCTGTAACTTCCTTGTGAGCTGAAAATGGCTGTATCTCTCAATATTCTCTTAATGTAAATACTTTGGCATTGGGGAGAAAATGTGTTAATTTTCTCCAAAACTAAAGAGCTTCCTGAAAGCAAACAGAGGGAAGCCTTGGCCTTCTTTATGACCAGCATAGTTTAAATGTTTGTGATCAGCTGAGGTGGTCCCCACCAAGATAAAGGTGTGCTGGTGACTTTTTCCCTGAATGGCCCCAGGAGTAAGCGCACTGGGAAGGAGGGGAAAGTATACAGAAGATGCTCAGAATCATTGCTCAACCTAGACTGGGTGTAGAAGCTCCTCCTGTACCAGCCACTCCATTATGGGCAGTCCATGGTGCTGTAACCCTGGGAGCACAGGCTTGGGACACAAAACTCAGAGGAAAGGTTCTTCTCCCTTGAGGAGTTTCTGTAACCCCTGCAGGCAGCTAGATAGCCAGTGGCTCTGTCACAGGCATAAGCCAGGCAAAGGGGTAACACGGACCCGCTGTTCCTTCCAGTGGTAAAGTGGAGTGACAGGCGTGGCAGTGGCAGTAACAGGTGCACCGGCTGTAGTGAAGAACAGCGTACCAGCAGGCTAATCCCTCCCCTGTTCTTTGTCCACGTAGCCTTGGGAACATGAAACTGGCCCTGTGATATTCACTAAGCCCACCTGAGTCCTGGACAATGCAGGGTTACAAGGTGAGTTTTAGGGAGGGCTGCCACTCGATCAATAAAATATACAACACATGCTTTAAAATTTTGTATGTTTATTTCATGTATTATTTATTGGAAATTCAAATTAACTGGATGCCTTGAATTTTATTAGTCAACCTCAGCTCCAAAGTAAAATTATGAATAATCATTTTTCCAGATGAGTTTTCAAACAGGGCTCTTACCAGCTAAGAAGCCAATGTAGACTATAAGTACTATTTTCTCCATAATCTTATATTACCTGTGCTTATTACTATTAGAGAGTTCAGCACTTTATATTGCAATCACTGATTTTCTGATGTGTTTCCCAAAATTTTCTGTGAGCTCTTTGAAGGCAGGCAATGTGTTTTCCCCACCTCTGTAACCCTGAAGCTCAACGTGATGCCTGAGATAGTCATAAATATTTGTTGAGCGCTAAATGATTACATGAATTAATTCGAGTTTCAATGAAGTTGAGCGAATGGTTATTCCATCCAGTAGAGGGCAGTTGTGCACACAGTACAAACCGTGGAGAGCAATCCCCATATTAGGGATAAACAAAGCAAGCTTTTAAACGTGAAAAAACCCGTATCTCTAGCTGTTTACTTATCAACAGTGCTGCACCCCACCCACTCACCCCATGTCTGAGCCAATATATGCTGAATCAAGATCAGTGTAAATTCTTCCTGTTCTATTGCAAAGCTCAACCAAAATCCCAACTTATCCTCTCTTTCTGGCAGAATTCTCTTACCGGAAAATATTGTGAGGAAAAATCCATCCAGATGATCTGTTTTTGAACAATAATAATTTGATTTTTTTTATACAGAATTCTAAATACTATAAGAATTGCCATAACCCTTTAATAAACATCTTTAAAAATTATTGCATTTGACTTTTTGGTTCATATCATATGCTAAGTTGCCTATCAGAAGAAATAGAATTGTTGTAATCATATTCATATATGCTGTATGCAGGGAAAAAAGGCAAGATAACTTCCTTATGGGTGATATGTGTTGTGTCTCAAACAGAACTCAAACAAAATAGGCATGCACCACCATGCCCAGCTAGGGTGGTATTTTTTTTATCACTAAGGAAAAGGTATTTCAAAGCTGGGCATAGTGGCACATGCCTATGATCACAGTGCTATGGGAGGCTGAGGCAGGGGGGTTGCAAATTTGAGCCCAGCCTAGGAAATTTAACAACTTTGTGAGACTGTGTCAAAAATAGAAATGAAAACAAAACAAAAAATGGCTGTGGATATAGCTTAGTGTGAAGGCCCTGAGTTCAATCCCCAGGGCTACCCCCCAATATGCAGTGGTAATCAAAAGGGGATATTCT